CTTTCATTTACAGCTACGTCCAATTCATGAACACCGTCTGCTATCACAGATACGGACAGCACTATCTAGGGCCCCTGAGAAAGCCAGGGCACCCAGCTCCGCTGAAACCTCTGCCAGCGGCATCCGTTTGGGGTGGACAGTCAAATATTTCTTCTCTGAGTGCACTTCTCTGCCAGCGGAAACAACGAAACCTGAACACTTAGTGTTTTAATTGTGCACGTCTATATATGCTTTTCCAATGCTACCTCTTCACCTTTTCGGAAACTTTTTGTATGTATACGTCTGTATACATCTTTTATAATTTCGGTGAATTATTTTTTACAACTAATACTCTAGATTGGAAGCAATCACACCTGTTTGCTTGTGCACATCCTAAATCGAAAAGCATGGGTTTCTCGCCCAGGGTTCTGTGTGTAAGGCTCTCAGACAAGAGGCGGAGTTAGTTGTTAATTAGTGCAATGGTTATACATTTAATGGACTTCTCTAACGCAGTCATTTTTCTTTAAAAAAGAGACTAAATAGAAGTCAGGGGTAAGTGGTTCTCCAAAACTGCAAATAATAATCATAATAATAATCATAATAATAATATTTTTTTAATGCACAGCTCTCACATAAATTTCACTTTGTGAACACACTGGCAAGGACTCGTTGTTGGGGCTTCCAAAATGCAGCGAATCCCACTGGCGGCTCCAACTTGCTAGTGGGCTCAGTTCTGTAATTGGAATGGAAGGAATTTTAACACTATTTAGACAAAGACTCAAATGCAGCGTAAAGGGAAAAGCTAGATTTCCTTACATGATTTCTTTAAAAGAAAAAAAAAATTAGAGACTTACTTATAACCTAGGGCATCTAGAGAGGATTTAGGAATTCTTCACAGAAAAAAAAACATTTATTGGTGTTTGTCACTCACTGTCTTTCGGAGTTTTTCTGTTACTTCTAAAAATGCCTTTCAATACTTCATTCAGCCTACCGGAGGCCCATTTTGAGCAGCAAATTTTCACTTCATTTTGTAATGACTGAAGGCCCAAACCAGCTTATTGCAATGAACCGCCTTGCAGATTCCTATCAAACTGCTAAATTGTTGCATAACAATATATATTTTCTTCCCAATCCAGGTCCCACTCTTCCTCCAGTAATTGCAATAACTGAATCCTGGGTGTAACTCTTATTTTGAAATTGTGTGTGCCGAAAATATTTCATCGGATGCTAATCTTTTCCTAAAACTACTAGGTCTAGATTTGGGTCTCCAGAGGGAGGGTACATCTCATGGATGTGATAGAGAAACAAAACTCTCTGACACTGAGGACGGATGAGCAGGAGGAGGACACAGAGGCAGATTTGCTATTCAGACTTTTGTTAAGCAAAATTAAGTGTGGGTTCAGGAACCACATCCGAGCTGGCACCAACGGGAAGGTCAAAATGCAGAGGGTAAACACTGTCTTCGTGCTGTGTGGAAAGGAATCAGGAAGGCCAGTGATAAGGTGGCCAGACTCCTCAGCACCAAGCACAACTCTCCTTCAACAGAAGGCCTGCATTCCGAGTTGCAATATTATCTTTTTTTTTTCTCTTTAAAGCATTGAAAACAAAATAAAACAAAAGTGATCGTGTTTGGCTGTATTTTCCAAACAGTGCTGGCCTTGTCTAACATTCTACCAGCTTCTAGGGAAAGTTGACTGAGAGTACAAACTGCACGAATTTGTAACATTAGTGGCATGAATTTGTGTCAGTTTAAAATAGGTCAATGCTTAAGAGTTCTCCTTAGGAAGGGAGCTGAAATCTTTCCAAATGATCCTCCGGTTATCCCCCATACACAGCCTGTTTGGGGGGAGATACCAATAAATCAAAGCATAGCTTTCATTCCACGAAGGCATTATTTTTTGCTTATATTTCTGGGACTAATGTGATCTGAAATTACTACCAGCTTGCCCAAGTGGGAGATACTCACTAAGGATTCACAGTGGCATGATTTGATAACGCACTTTAAAGCAGATATAAAATTGGGAGTTATTTGAGTAAGGTGTGGATTTTTTTTTCTTATTTAAAACAAATGACCTCTGAAATTAAAGGAAAAAAAGAGAGAAAGAAAGAAAAGAAAAGCAAAGAAAAGGAAAGAAAACAAACAACTTTGATTTGTCCAAAGTGTTTATATTCAAGCTTGTCAGGCCTTGCTAACAAGAAAATCACAATGTGTAAGGGAAGAAGGAAAAATAATCAATCTTAGTCAAAAGACAAGAATTGTTTATCTTTACCACTAACTGAGTCTGTGCCTAAGCCACCTCGGATGGGTCCCATTTGCTGGAAGGTGTTTCTCTAGTCTGGTTTGCTGTTGGGTCACAAGCCCAGAGCCATGGTCAGAAAGTCAAGTTCCACTGTTTTCTGTCTTGTTTTGATTTTTGCTTTCTTTTGTCCTGCTTTTATTTTTTTTTTTAACCAGAGAGCAATGATGGGTCAACTGATTTCAGAAACTGAAAACTTTGAAGAGACAAAAAAAAAAAAAAAAAAAAAATTGAGAGGTCACAATTTACACAGATATTAAATATTCTCACTACTATATGGGGGCAGCCCTTCACCTCACAAAACAGCCCATAATTTCATCCTGAATTACTGTCTTGCTACTCCACCATGAACCCTTCCACTGGAGAAAAGGATGCATTTTACACTTCTCATGCGTTTGTTGGGCCCAGTTAAACTGTACGCTAAGAAATTGAGTACAGAATCAAAAAAAATGCAGTTTATTATTGTAGATTATTCTTTCTCTTGATATAACCAGAATTGAAAATGAAAGAAAAGCACATAGGAACATCACGCGTGGTTAGTTAGTAACTCAAGATATAAAACAATTTTGCACAGCAAAATATGTAAAAGAAAAAGTAACTGACAAGATTTTTTTATATTTATTGTGGTAAGATTTACTTTTCATTTTTTTTTTAAAGACAGGATGTCAGTCCCTGAAAATAACATTTACTGATTATTGCCTTTAAAACTGTGGATTTTTTTTAAGTTACAGAAAATCCAGTTCTGCACCACAATACAACTGTAAAAAAATCTGCATCATCTTAAAACTGTGCAGTAATGCCATTTTTATAACTGCATAAATTTTATTAGCGTTCTAAACATTTTTGCAATTTTTTTTTGTATTATATGCTTGCAGGTTATATCTTAGTGCAATTCAGTCCCAAATACTTTAATTTTGAAAAAAAAAACCATACATTTTGAATGTAAAATACCCCTACAGATATAAACAGGGGTGTTTCCCCTGTTAATACTTTGGTTTTTCAATACAGTCAGTGGTATAGCAAAAACTACACATACCCAACTTATATTTAAGTTGCAAGCACATGCTGTATAAGCTACTTTTTTTTAAACAGTCCCCTTGCAAACTCTACCCCCCTTAACATCACAACAGTAAACAATTTAGTGCATCAATCTTTTAAAAAATCTACAGCTACACAGACCTAACGCTTTCAAATTTATCTATAACATTCCTTTATCTGTAGCATACATTTTAACTGGGCTAACAGATTATAAAAACTAGAATTAAATTATATACTAGAAACCCATAGCATTCCACATTTGACAATGACCAAAAGCCAAAAGAAAAATAATAAAAATAAAACAAACCAAAAAATAATGGGGCAGATTTCTTTTCTTCAAAAAATAAATTTTAGACTGCTTTCAGCAACAGCACAATTTAAGTCCCCCAATTGGGGCATCATTCTTATTAAAAAGAAAGCATTAATGAGAGTTCTTTAATGTTTGCCATGTTAAACCCATTTTGGTATCTTGGACAAGGAATACCTCCAGTGCCTTTACAATGGGAGGCTGAAGTTTTAGGTAAGTCAGAGCTGTTTTGGAGCAGATGAAAACTTTCATGGGAAGAAGGCTCTAGGGTTGCGCTTTTGTTAGTTTTGTTTTGAACTCAAAAAAGTCATGAGACAATAAAACAAAAGAATGAATGCCATGCTCTAAGTCTTCGAACGTCCATTTCCAAGCCAAAAGGAAAAAGAAAAAAAAATAATTATACCATACATGTCCAGCATGCAGGCTTTTTTTTTTATTAATATAATGTCTCTTTTCCATAAAGTCTTTGAAACAGTTACAGTTCATTGTTGCTAAGACAAAGTAGCAAGCATAATAATGCATGAGATGAGAGTGAGTGTTTTTAATGGCAGGCTAAACTCTCAGATTTGGCATCAAAAGGCCAAAACTCACAAGTCACACCCAGAAGGTTGATGCAGGCTTGATTGTGGCAGGTTCATGAGGACTTTTTTTCTCTCTCTATTTTAGCATAACAATGCTAAAAACCCCGCTGGAACTCAGCAAGCTGCTGCTGCTGCAAAGTCTTATAACATTTCACATTTTTTTTTCTTTTGCAAGCTCAATCTCACTTGAAGAACTCAGAAGGAGAAAAAAAAAAAACTTTGCTTTTTTTTTTAAATCTTGGAGATAGGCGGAGAAGGAGTGAGGTGGAGGTTGGGTAACACAGCAAGCTCAAAAAAAAAAAAAAAAAAAAAAAAAAAAAGTAAAATCAAGGGAGAAAAAATCCAAACAAAATAAAACACACACACACAGAAAATGAACACAAGCTCATGAACTGAAGAAGGAGAAAAATATGCAGATGATGCAGGCTTCAAAGGTGGGCAGTATTTCACATGAAGAACTCTGCTGAGATCTTTAAACATTGTGCAAGTTGGGGGGGGGGTGTAAAAAAAAAAAACACCAGCTAGCAAGTTATGGGGAATTTGACAATCCACGAGCCAGACACCCATTCCCTCCCCAACTTAAAACAGCCGCCACCACCAACTCGGAGCAGGGCGTGTGTGTGTGTGTGTGTGTGTGCGCGTGTGTGTGTGTGCAGGGCCAAGGAGGGCGAGCTCGGCAGGGGAGGAGGGGGCCAGGTGGTGGCCAGCGCGGCTCCGCAACCAGCAAGCCCACACCCGAGCCAGACCCCCGCGGAGTACTTATCAAGGTGGCTAGCTGGGGTCGAGCGTCAGACTCACATGAAAAACTCTGGAGAGGACGGGTTGTCGCTGCTCGAGCCGTTTTCTCGGAAGCCGCTGCTCACCAGCTTCTCGTATTTCTCCTTGTACGCGTCCCTCTCGCGCACCAGCCTGGAGATCTCCTGCTTGAGGTGGTCGACCTGCTGCAGCAGCTGGTTCTTCTCGGACTCCAGGACGTGTCTCTGCTGCACCCTCTTGAAGCGGCAGGACTGGGCATAGCCGCGGTTTTTCAGGGTCCGCCTCTTCTGCTTCAGCCGGATCACCTCCTCCTTGCTGACCCCGCGCAGCTGCCGGTTCAGCTCGCGCACCGACATGGTCACCAGCTGCTCGTCGGAGAAGCGGTCGTCGAAGTGCAGGCCGCCCGGGCCGGCGTGGTGCGGGTGCAGGGCGCCCCCCGCCCCCGCCGCGCCCCCGCCGCCGCCGCCGCCGCCGCCGCCGCCGCCCCCGGTGCCGGCCTGGCCGCCGCCGCCCGAGCCCCCCGCGCCGCCCCCCGCCGCCGAGGCGGACGCGCCGCTCGCGGCCCCGGGCGCGCCGGCCGTCGGGTGGTGGTGGTGGCCGGCGGCGTGGTGGTGGTGGTGGTGGTAGTGCGGGCCCGCGCCGCTCTGCGCGGCGGCCGCGGCGATCACGGCGGACACCACGGCGGCGGCGGGGCCCATCTCCTCGCTGCTGCCGCCCAGGGAGGCGCCGGCGCCGGCCCCGGCCGCCGCGGCCAGCTGCTGCGCCCCGCGCGCGTAGCCATCGAAGCCGCCCTGGAGCTGGTGGCTGTTGCTGATGAGCGCCTCGACCGCGTCCTCGGGGCTGAAGCCCAGCGCCTCGGGGTTGAGCTGCTGCGGGTAGCCGGTCATCCAGTAGTAGTCTTCCAGGTGCGCCTTCTGCTCGCTGCCCGAGCCCGGGCTGGGCGCCGAGAAGCTGGGGGAAGGAGGCACGGAGCTGCACGGCGTGCTCATGGGGGTGGAGGACAGCGAGCCCCCGGCGATGAGACGGCCGCACTGGCTGATGATGCGGTCGGTCTCCACCGGTTCCTTTTTCACTTCAAACTTCATCAGATCGAAGTCATTAACATATTCCATGGCCAGGGGACTGGTGGGCAGGTCGGAGTTGCTCATTGCCAGTTCTGATGCCATTCTCCTGCCGGCGCCGCCGCCGCCGCCGCCGCTCCTCCAGATGGGCTGCAGGAGAGGGGCCAGCGGGCTGTGCTGGGTGGACAGCGGGTGAGCCAGCTTGCCGGGCTGGGGCGCTTCTAGCTCGCGCGGCGGTGGCTGGCCCGAAAGCTCCGAGCGCGCACACACCCCCCGCCCTGCCCGCGCCCCCCGCGCCCGCCCTCCCTCCCCCTGCTCACGCCAATGTGCTCGCTCGCTCGCTCGCTCGCTGGCTCGCTCGCCCCGGCCCCTCCTCGCCTGCTCGCCTCCGTGAGCGCCGAGCCGGCGGACGGGCGGGCGGGCGGCTTCAGGCTCGGGCAGGTCCTCCTCGGGCTGCGGCGGCGGCGGCGGCAGCAGCGGCGAAGCCGGAGGAGCCCGGCCGGGTGCGCGGCGTCCCCCGCTCGCCGCTCCGCTGCGCGCTTCGCATAAGGAGAGCTCGGGCGGGCGGGGCGCGCGGCGGGCGCTGTCCGGGCGGCGCGGGCCTTGGCACGGGGGACTTAACACTTCATGCTTCTCGCCGCCTCTTCTGCCTGGAGCTTTTTAATGTTTCTTTCTTTTTCTTTCTTTCTTTCTTTTTTCTCCTCCTCTTTCCTCGCTCCCTTGCTCTGTCTCTTCCCTCCGCGCAAAGTGCAAGACAGAGGTGCAGCTCGGCTGGCGGAAAGGGAGGGGAGGGGGAGTTAAGTTCTTTCTTGCCTTTTTTTTTCCAAGCAAAATAGCAAAGTCCCAGGAAAGAAAAAAATATATATGAATATATATAAGGCCAGGCAGAGAGCAAAAGGGGATAAGGCTGAGCTCACGAGCAGCCCAAGCTACAGCTCGAAGATGAAAAAAGATTTTAAAGCCTCTGATCCAGCAAGAAGAGTTTAAAGCAATTGCGGAGTTTTATAGCACTCGTGACGTCAAGCCCAAATGGGAAATTGACTGGCACTCCCGGCCAATGGGAAGCGGCGAGAGCGGCCGCGATTAGCATAATAGTATAGAAACAAGGAAACTTTTCCGAGCTGTCAATCAGGGCCCAATCAGCTGACTGTCAGCTGGGACGGGCTGGGTTAACCCTTGCCGCGCCGCAGCTCGGAAGAGGGAGGAGGGAGTGGGCCCGGGTGCAAAGTTTAGTGCAAGAGCGAGAGTTTTCCCGAGGGGCAGCTGGAAGCCGCAGCACCCAGCAGGACTGTGTGCGTCCTCCGGAGCGCGACGGAGGCCTCTGGCTCATTGATCCCGCGCTCGTCCGCAACCCGCGCCCCTCACCGCCTGCGCCCCGGCCCCGGGGTAGTGAATCGGCCTGCCGCTTGCTTTCTTTTCCTGCACTCTGCAACTCTGGCACCCCAGGTGTCTGCCCGGGGACCTCCCTTCCCCGCGCCTGGCTGCGCCCTGAAGCTCAAACTTGGCCCAACTCTTTGTCCCTCTGCCCGTGCGGGTGCAGTGGGCTGGCTGGAGGCGCGGGGTGGGGACTGCGCGCGGGACGCCTCTGGCAGTTCGCCCGCCTCGCGGCGTGGGGTCCCCTGAGGGAGAAAGCTCCTTCGACCACCCTCTTGGGAAGGAAGGAAAATAAGTTGTTCCGGACCTATCCCAGCGGGGACTTAGTGGGCCGCTGGCGTAGCGCGCCCTTGGGGAGCAAACATCTACTAGAGAGAGTTAACTCCGGTCCCCGGCTCGGCCTTGGCTGGAGTTTGGCCTCTGAGATTTCTCTCTCTCTTGCTCTCTCCATCCTCATCTGAAAAATCTGATATCTTCCCTCTGTTAAAAAAAAAAAAATACCGAGCTGCGTTTCCTTCCTTTACATTTTTACATTTGACTTAATTATTTCGGACTTGATTATGATCCGAAACTGTGCGGGGGGGGCAATACCCCACTCCTCCCTAGCTTCCCTGCAAGGGTTAAATTTTAAACAGCTGTTTTTCTGGAGGAGTCCGGAAACCCAGAATTTGGAAGAGATGGGGGAGCGCCCCCTCCCCGCCTTGCAGATAGGTAATAACTAGTTCACATTTCTAGATCGATTCTTTTAAAGCGGCGGAAAATAAAAAAAAGGAGAGAGAGAGAGAGCGAGGAAGAAAAAGAAAACAGAAAGGGACTAGCAACTCTTTTCTAAGATTTTAAAGCGATAGGCCAGCCAGAGGAGCTGAGATTTAATTGGGAGAAAGCAAGATTGCATTGAAACCGACTCATTTTTTATTTTTTATTTTTGGAAGACCAGCCCACCTGCTTGGAAATTGGAACTCTTGATTCCTCCAGTTAACGTAATGCGTTTGGTGTTAATCATATTTATTTTATTTTATGGAAGGGGGAGGGCTCTAGGAGCACTTAAAAAAAAATCTGAGAAGCCTGCAAAAGGATCGAAGACTGGGAACTATTGTTGGACCCAGTTGGTTTTTACCTCAACAGCGCCACCTTTCGGCAAAGGTCAGTTGAAATTGATCCGCGTCCAGTTTTGTTTAAGTGGAAAGAAGCTGGTTTCCCAGCGTGGGAGGAGGAAAGAGGCTCAGAAAAGTGAGTTGCGCGGCCGTTGGAGAACTTGACCTTGTAGGAAAGGGCCGGGGAAGGTGCTAGCAGATGCGGGGATCATTTTTACCCTCCTGTCCCCCTTCATTGGTGAGAGGCCAGGGAACCCAGAAGCCCTGGGGATATAATTCTGGGATTCCCCATAACAAGACCTCAAACCCTTTAAAAGGATGAGTTTTCAGCGGGCATTATGGCAATATCAATAGAATTAAAGTTACCTGTAATTCAGTGATAAATGAGGTGTCTCCAGTAAGATTAAGTGCAGCGCTCTAAAGTTGTTTATCTGAAAAATAATTCTCTGAAAACCTGACTTCTGACACCTCGTCATATATTAAGCCACCTTCCGCAAACACTGCACTTCAGAATGTCCTGACCCACCGCGCAGCGAGCGACACGCTTTACTATTTAGCAGGAGACCTTAGGGGTCGCTCCCTGCTTCGCGCTCCAGGTCAGACCTGTGTTCATTTCTCTGATCCTGGCAGCCTTGGGTTTGGGCGAACCCAGGAAATGGACCTGGAAGCCTCTCCAGAACATCCTAAGCCTAAAGGACCAGGGCTGTTGGTACTTTCCTGACAATATTTATGCAACCCAAGAGAATTCTCTTGCTTTCTTCCTCTTTGACAATATTTTACCTCGAAATGAAGTTAAAGGATTATAGTTGGTGTACTCAGAGGAAAATCCACTGCTTAAATTACATGAACATTAGGTTGTTTAGCATTGTTCCTAGCAAGCATTTTCCAGGTCTTTTAAAAAAACTCACTGGCAGCGAACATCTGAAAGGTATATATCTCGTGTAAAATATAATATTTTGTGTATTTAGGAAGAATTAATTTTTTGTTTATGGTAATTTGAAAAATCCCTTTGCATAGCATTTTTGTGAAGAGCTGCAAAGTACGATTTCTACCTCTCAAAAACCTACTTTTGGCAGGAACATTGAAGCTGCTACACTTACAAATAAACATTTTATAAACAAAATTTGCTAATGACGAAGGCCATGCCCTACAGTTTCATGGCCACATACCTCATTGTTACAATTATACACCATTTCTAGAAATGAAATGCCTGTGTTTGTGCAGCTAAATGTATCATTATCTGCACATTTTTATGGTTTATTTTTGTTCACTACCGTCAAGCCATGGTATTTTCCTTTCTCTTATTGCAGAGTCTTTCATAGTCTCCCATTTTCTCTTGAAAACAGAGGGTATCAGAATTACTTTTTGGATGTGTCGCAGGCGTGCTCTCTGGCTTACAACTTAATTCTCATTTTTGTTTCTTTTCCTTTATTATTTAGTGACTCACAGAGGTGTCTAAACATTTACAGTTCTTTGCTAGAAGCATTGCTTTTATAACAATTGAACTCTCTCATTTTAATTAGTACCATTCAGGTTCCTGATTCTCTACAATTACAGCAGGCCACATTTCTTTAGACTTTTTTTGCTAACGTTGTTTGTTTCACTTCTGTCCAAGCCAATCTAATCCAAATACAATATGAACTGTGTTTTCTACTGCTTAATATCCCCTCAGTATATATATATATATATATATATATATATATATATATATATTCTAGTAATCTCTGTAGAACAATATACAGTAATTCAGAAACCATGCGTTTGTCATCATTGTCCAATTCAAACCAGTAGCGTTAAAGTTTCTGAAAGCAATGAATATTTATAGAAGATCCTGAGGGGGAGGAGGGCATGGGTCGAATCACGTAGAGGATTTCACAATAGTAACAAAAACACAATTGTAGTTTCATGGCTGTGGGTCCATAACAACTTAATGCAAAAAGGGGGGAGAGAGAGAGAGAGAGAGAGAGAGAGAGAGAGAGAGAGAGAGAAAGAAAAAGAGAAGAAAAAGAGAAGAGAGAGAGAGGGAGAGAGAACAGGAACAGGAGAGAGAGAAGGGGGGCTTTTGTGTCCAAGTTACAAAGATGAAAATCTAAAAAGAATATATATTTCCTGATGGTGAATTATAGCAGGTCACATATGTTGGAATCAGACATATATAATCTGAAGCAAACAGGATGTATCAAGGATAACGTCAGATCTCTTTGTTTATTTAGGAGTTGGTTTTTATGGTGTAGAACTAACCAGTGTCCACTAAATTGCACAGTGCAACCAACTAAATTGATTTGAGAGAGGGTTCTTGGGAGTACCTGAGTGAGAAGCCATGCACTGTTCTCAGGTCTAATGTTAGACAAATCCTTTTAACAGTCCTCAGTTAGCAGGGTAAGTAAATCACAAATCACTGTTAGCAGATTCATGGAAGAAAATTAATAGAATCAGACGAGATAATCTGATAAGGGGAAAGTTGCTGAGGAAACAGTCTTGCCTCGTTCTGCAGGATGTGAACTACAGTCTGATTACTAGGAGTCGTTATGAATAGGTGAATTATGTGCTAAATAATCATCCGAGTAATTCTGCATTTATTAATTCTTTTCTCTTTAAGCAATTCACGGTTGTAAGTTAAAGCCACCCTCTCTTTGAAGACACATCTTTTATAATTTTTATTAGAGGCAATTTATTATTTGCATTACCTGTATTTACTTCATAATTGAACATTTTGCATTCAAATTTATGTAATGCATTATGCTTGAGAATATATTTCTGCCTGATTAGCATAAATAGTCACTTACCTCATGAATTACTAACAAAGTTTATCTTAAAATATAGGTTTTTTTATTAAGTGGAACACAAACATATGTACAATAAATTCTGATTTTCCGATGCAGTTAGAGAACAACTCACATTATGGGGAAGCCAGGGAGAGAAGCAAAATGTAGACAAATGAGGCAGATTTTTTTCCAGGGGTAGCATTTACACGGGGCAGGTGAGGGATGGGGGAAAGGGCCGGAGGAGGCGCTGGCTGTTGGGGTGATTGACTGGGTGATCTCACCGTGAAATGTAGATTCTGACCAAAAGGTGATTGGTGCCCGTCCCCTCTGTGCAGGACCACAGTAGTAAGTCAGTAGTGACAGAACGGGGAGAGGCTGTTGGTTTTATTTTTATTTATTTTGTTTGTTTTTGTCTTTGCAGGGCTCTTCCTGATATGAAGTATTGGCTTTTCACAAGAGATGTGAGAGACCCAAATGTTTTCTGGGAAGGTGTGCCTGATTTCACCCAGATCTGTTCCCTCCCTTTATCTGATCAAATCCCAGCGCAGCCTGGCAGACAAGAGTCACTGATTTAATACACAGCTTGGGGGACCCGTGAACACTGGCATTCAGAGACCTCTGTGGTTTCCAGCAGGAGACAGAGACGTAAGATGATGGGTCCTGTTTTCCAAGATTACCGCCTTTCTCTATTTCCTCTTTCTCTTTTCAGGGCCTTCTGCTTCTGCTGAGATTTTTCTTTTCCTTCAATTAGGGACTGCCTGTGACGTGCTCTTCCATTCTCATCGCTTTTGATCCCAGCTACAGCTTATGCCAGTGAGGGAGTTTATCTCCAAAGCGCTCGACCCTTCAAAGATTTTATTGTCATCAACTCAGAGCTGCTCTTAAAAAAAAAAAAAAAAAAAAGCAAAGGAGATAAAATAAATAAATAAATACAGGAAGCTGATATCAGGGAATCTTTTTGCAGGCGGTGTCTTTTATGCCTGATAACTGGGCGGACAACAGGCTCAGTGGTGATGCTGGCTCTGAAGTTTTATCCTCTTCCTGCTCCTGCTGAAGGGGGATGCTTACTTCTTATTCCAGACTTGTTCAGCAGCCATCTGACCTGGGAAAGAAATGCAGTTCTCCAAAGTACTGAGCAAACTTGAATTCTTCTGTGGTTAAAAAGAAAGAATGTTGAAGGAGATGTTTTCTAGATTTGCGAGCTTTTGGCTTTCTTTAGTCCAGGCCTGGGGAAAGGGGTCTCTACAGCTCTGTTTCACATTATAGTTCTCATTTACCTCTGAGGTGTGGTTGAGCACTCTTGTGCATTGTTCTGTGCACTGAAACACCAGATGTATCCATTCAGCATCCTCTGATGAAGGTCAGAAATGGGGCTCACACCTCTACCCATCCCAAATAAAAACTGGCATCAAATATAGCCTTGTTGATAAACTTTTTTTAATATTTAGTATGCTGTAATGGTGATGTGTACTCTTCACTGAATATAAATGCTTAGACAACACAGAAATGGGAAATATTACCAAAGAGGGGCTGGTCTTCCTGTCTACTCCAGCCCTTAATCCTGGCCTCTGGCGTGGTCATCTACACTAGCTGAGGTGTTTGTGTGATCTTTTCACGGGACAGAACCATGGCACTGATGAAGTACCCTAACTTTATACCCTTTAGGATGCATCTACCTCAACCTCAAAAAACAGTTTTGAGAACTCTAGCTTTTGCTAGAATTCACCTAATGAAATCTCATCTCCCGTGTAGGGTAGAGGTGGGCGGGATGTTTAGAGGCCTGATCTTAATTTTCTCCTTCCAACCAAATTATGCATCTGGATCTGAGCTACCCGCAGGCAGGGCTGGTTTTTCAACCAAGTATGGCAGACGGCGGAAACATTTTAAGTTCTTTACACATGAGCAGAAGAGAAACATGGGTTATACCTTCCACTGTACAACCAGCGCCACAGCTATCCCCTTGAGCCACGGTCCAGCAGACACATGCCACCAGTGACTCATGGTGCATGCACCAGGGACACAAGCCCTGGCCTTCCCTTCTCGTGTTCCTCATGCTGTATTTGGGTACTTGTGGTTCTGAACCCGAGCATGGAAATGTCCAGCCCTCCCCAGCAGGCTCCAGCTCATCTGGTTTGGCCTACTCCATGCTAGCTAAATCTCTTTGGGTCTCAAATGTGCTCTTGACTATTTTTAATTGGCTTCCCAGCTTTGTGCCAGCTTCAGATGAAATGATGTGCCTTTTATACAACTTAACCTGTCTGAACCAGGTCCCTGCTTGGCAAGCTGGGCTACTGTCATGATCAACAATTGTTCTCCTACAGAATGGGGCCACGGAGGAGCCCCCCTCTGCTTTCCCTGGGATCCCTGCAACTTGTTGATGACAGCATTGGAAGTGTCAATACCCTGTGGCATCCGAGCTACACGATCAACACAATGTGACCTAAAAGATCATTAAGTCCCCTAATGGACATTTGAAATTGACACAGTCTATTTGGTAATTTTTAAACTCAATTATCCCATCTGGATGTCCTGTGTAGATCTTTCTAATGAATTCTGAAAGTAATTTCACTTTTTTACTGTGTAGGTTCTCTCTCTCTCTGCAGAGGGCAGAGGATAGATTACTGAGCAACCACACCACATTTCACACCTGCCATGGTCTTTGTAAACCTTTGTCCTGTCAAAATGCCTGGTAGTGGCCCACAGCTTGGACCTCAGAGACTAATAAAAAATAGATACAACCGAAACAAACGAAGTGAAGAGCTCTGCAAATGCATGAGCATTTGTGAGCCTCCCTGGTTTTTCCCTTAATGCCAATTTCGAGATGAGGAGAGGCTCAGGGGTATTTTCGTAGACAGAAGAAGTTCAGATTTCACATGTGAGCCTCTGAGTGCTCCAGATCCATCTGGTCTCTCTTGAAAGGATCTAAATGTGCAGGTTTTTGAACAATTTCCCCTCTGAGGTTCCCACCTCACCTCTTTCTGAGGAACCTAGAGATAACAAACACACGGAAAAGGCCATGGGTTATTTATGATCTGTACTCTCTGTGCTGCCCGGAGATCCTGGCTTGAGCTGGCTTGGCACACCCAGTCTGGGGTACTCAGGACTCAAAACAAATGATGAAGGTTCTTCAGAGTGTGTCACTGACTGTTGTCACTATTGACTGGTGGCCCACTCACCTTCTGCTCTCTGCAAATCCCCTCTTCCTCCAGCTCAGCTGTCAGACTGAAAATGGCCTAGACTGCAGGAAGAGGCCAAGAAAGCTCGGGGATGCATGGAAAAGGCCCTCTCAGCCCCTGAGGCTGACAGTCAGATGGGTGAAGAGGGCCACAGACACTTCCATGCTGGGCTGCTTTGGGGCGCTGATGGGTCACCCCACTGTAGAGTGTCACCAGACCAGAACTGCTGCTCATTTACATTGATATTGTTGGAGCTTTTGATGGCAGCATGGTGAGAAAAAAACCTGACGCGTCTCACGCTCTTGCGATGCTTTGGAACCAGGCCCATGGTGTGTGCGGAGTAAATCCTGCTCTGTTCCCAGTGACGTGAGTTAGTGACCTCTGTGAACCTCAGTTTCTCCCCCTGTCAGAGTTGGAGGCAGGCTTTTGGAGCACGATGTGTACCTATAGCAAGGACTTAGCACAGGACCTTCCTGACAGGGAGTGCTGCAAAGAATGTTGTCTGTAGGCATGCACCAGGGACCCTGAGGACATTCCCTACACACCGCCTTGCAGGAGGGATGTGGGAAGTAGTTCCCTCCTCTTTCCTTTATGCATCAGCTTACCTTGGACTTGGTCTTGTGTTTCACTCTGTCCGGAGTCTGCAGGGTTTTGCCCTCCAAGAATTGCACCGTCTTTCACTTTCCCTGTGCTCTGTCCTGGACCCTGCTCAATTTTGACTCTTCCTTGGGTCTTGAGATTCCTCTTCAAAGCCTTACCTGAGTCCTCTTACTTTCTGGCCCCTACCACAGGCCGGGCCAGGTACACAGAGAGACCTTATCTGTGTTCAAACCCTCAGGGTGACCCTGTTAGCTCCTTAACCCAGAGCATCTTTGTTTTTTGGGGGGAAGTACCAGGAATCGAACTCATCACCTCACACTTGCCGGGCAGGCACTGTGCCACTGAGCTAAATCCCTGGCCCTTACCCAGAGCACCTTGATATATAGAACAACCCTGTTCATCTCTGTCTCCTTCTGTTTCCCGGGGCCTGGTACACAGAAGGTGCTCAGCACGTGCTTATCCAATGAGAATGACTTGAACGCACACTCAGATCCCTCACCTGTTTTTAAGTTCTGAACCTTCACAGAGTGTCCTGCTGAACATCCCAGAAAACATGGACTTTGATAGGGGCAGGGCAGTCGCAATACAGCAGTTCACATGTCCGCCTCTGGGGTTGACTGGGCCATCTTCCTGTCATCAGGATGCATGTCTGGTTCGGAGGGTAAACTGTATCTTTCCAAATGGAACTGGGTGGAAAACAGCGGAGATGCACAGGCCCTGGAGCCGAGGTAGAATGCTATCAATCTCGCTGGTGAACTCCGTGCAGGGAGGGCTGGGATTAAGCACGGGGAAGGAGGCGGGGTGGTCTGCTAGCGGCTCTGCCTGCCGCTGCCCAGAGGCCCACTCCTGCTCTGCGTCACAGCTGCTCTCCACAGCTTTTGGCCACAAGACAGATTTGTAATCTTTAGATGATAACACAGAGCCTGCCCCACTGCCACATGCCCAGATCCTGCCCGTTCCTTAAGGCATGGTACAGACGCAGGCTTGCGGCTGAAGCTCTGATCAGGGTCAGGTACGTATTTAGTGACGGTTGTTGGTGCTATGACAGGGGTCTGGAGGCCTCTTGGGATCCCCTTGGTACAAGCTCAGCCTCTCTTAGTGAGGTCTGAGGTGCAGCGTGGGAAGCAGCTAGGTGCAGTGGTTAGGATGGGATATGGGACCTGGGAGGAACCCTCTCTGTGCATTTCTGGTCTCACTGTCCCTATCGGCATAGAGGAACCACTTAGTCTTCTGTGGCTTGCAGGTGAAAAATGTTTGACCTAAACTGACTTAAGCTAAAAGGGAACTCATTGACTCACGTGACCAAAAGTTCCAGGCACAGACCGGTGCCAGGCCTGGCTGGAGACGGGGGTCATATTGTGTCACTGGAACTGGCTTTCTTCCCTCTGTGTCAACTGAAGACCAGGGTTCCCATGGGGACAGGATGGCAGGAGCAGTTCTAATTCTAAATCCTTCTGAGTCTGAGACTAACACCAATAAGGTACATGGGAGTCATGGTTTGGTCACATGAGGCTGGCTCATCTGACTGGTTCCCCGCTTACCCCTTGCCAACCCCTGTGGCAAAGTGATGAAATGCCCTATTGGCTCAGACTTGGACTCAGGAAGGGGTGGGACAACAGCTTGGAATACAGCTCTAGAATACTGGGGAAGCCCGCCTCTCTGGGCGACACTGAGGCCTGCTACCAGACTGTAACATTAGTAACACTCCCAATGGCCCATAGGTACATGACACTCACCAGGTCTTGGCCTCAGTTTCAACTCACCCATAGCAGCAGCATCCCTGGAAGAGATAGCTTGCCTGTGACCAACGAGGAGACTATGGTACCTTTTGGGATTCCCTTAGGTACAGTTTAGAGGGCTTTCCATAGTCTCAGGGCTGGTGAGTGGTACAGGTATGGATCCTGGAAACGGCCACAAAGTTCCCACCACTGATCACTTTCCTTTATTATCTGCTATAAGAGAGAGTCAGGAAACAAACCTGTAACACAATGTAATGTGGCACAACCTAAGGGGATTACTGCCATATAATGCAGAATCGTGTCACACAGAATATTTTACACACCCTGCAATATTGTGCCGTATCAGGGCAGCCACTGGTCAGCAGACCCTCTTTGTACCCATGCCAAGACCATGTCTTGTGAGCATACCCAGAGTGTGCATTGGCTGAGTGACGGACAAAATGCCTCATTTCATGTGTGCACAGTGGGAATCCTTTGACTCAGGAGCCATGTTTCATTCCTATGTTTTTCTTTTTTGGTCTCCCGGGAAGAGCAAATGTCCAGAGGAATTTTGAGGCACAAGCAAGTGACCTATAGCTCCACCGCCTCCCATGGGTTGGACGTTTGAAGATGTTACACTGGACCTGGGCCTCTGAAACTTTCTTCTTGGCCAGTGTTTGTAGAGAAGATCTGAGCAAATATGTTTTACTGACTGGTGGCAGAAGAGTTAGGTGCAAAAGGATGCAGAGCTTTAGAAATTAGTCCTGGGAAGGCCGTGGTCCAAAACTGTACAGTGGAGGCCATGTACCCAAGAGTGGCGATATGTACTGAGTATTAAAAAAAAAAAAAAAAAAAAAAAAACCCAAAACAAACAAAAATAAAAAGAGAAAATAAAAAATAAAAAAAGAAAAAGAAAACATGCACATTTTCATTTATTAAATTTATACAGTAAA